AAATATGGCTGTACTTGAGAACTGTTACATATAGTAAGTGTGAACATAACCTTTTCTTTGTCTTTCTAACATGAAAGGACAGATTGTCTCTTTAGAACAGATAAATTCATGGCAAGGAATTCAGTGGAAAGAATAACAGCCAATAAACTAAAAGGAGCCAACAGAATTAGTTCCAGGCACAAATAACTGCATTATAAGGGTAATTTGTTTAGATTCTTGAAAAGTAAGCACTAAACTTTCCATGTATTAATACTCATTAGAGTACTTTGTACAGAACAAATTAAAAACTGTTTTCTAGCATTATGGTTTTCTAAACAGTTTGGCACAGTTATCCATGCTTCAGAGGAACATACCACCATGCCCTTGAAATAGAATTTACTAAATACTTGAAAATAGAGAAAGATGAGATAATTTCAAAACCAAAGATGTTAAAATATTGATAGAAGTTTCTAGAATATGTTACAAATATTAATGACCACTTCCAGAATTTTTTAAATATGTGGGGTTCTAAAAATAATGAAATTTTCACAACAAATTATTCTTGATGAATGAAAATACCTGGTCATTCTTTCAGTTGGAGAATTGATTGCAAATATGTTAATACCTTGTAGGGAGAGCTCAGGAATCACTAGTTCTTCATAATTGCTTATATTTGGAAAGTTTTTTCTATTCTAGCAACCAGATTTGGTGATTCATTTTTGCACCTGCCATCTGTACTAATGCCTTCTTATTGATATTGTTTAAGGGGACTTTGTGGTTTTTATTTATCGGTCTCCAGAAAGACATTATCAACACAAAATTCCAGTATATAAAAATAAAGCTGGTTCTTCACAACTTGTTCGCTAGGTCTGGGTGACATATCAATCTTCCTGATCTCTTATTTTGTAAAGATTCGATTGATTTTTCAACATAACTAAGTCTGTTTTTATGAGGGCAGAATACAGTGCTCTGGATTTCAGATGATCAGACAGCCAGTTCAATAACATAGTATCTCCTGCAAGACCATTTACAAGTAGTGCATAAAATAAAACATATGTGAAGTACAGACTGCTCCTGAATAAGGAAACTTAAGAATCTGTAAGCATGGCAAATCAGCTGACTGTTGTTACTGCTTTGTTTTTCTATCTTTAAAATGGAGATGATGATGATACAACCTAATGTTTCTGAAGCCCATACTTTTTATGGAGAAAATGGCACTATAATTGTGAAGTACTAGTATGCTAAATACTAATAGTTAAGCTTTACAAGAGGATTCTATCTGGATTTTGACCAGAATACAAAGAAATTTTCATTAATAATAAATTGTGTGGGAGTTGCTCTTTGCTTAGCCACATCAATGTAATAACTGCTTTCATGTTTGGTAAACTTCCAGTTTAAGTCATTTATAAGGAGAAAAACACTTTCATTTTAAGAATAAGTGAGCCTGATAAATGAAACATCCCTTCAGCAGTCCAGAATAATCTTTTTCTAAGTTCATTTTAAGCCTTGAACATTAACAAATGGTTGTAAATTATACACACAGAAGCAAACTGAATAGGTAATCTGAGAAGATGAGTTTATCTGTACTCTTGGGTAGTCACTACCACTTACTTGCAATCTCACTATAGTTACCATTGTGAGGAGAATAGTCAATCAAAGTTGAAGATGTAAAATAAAATTGAAAATTAGATTGGAAGGTAATTTTACTGTCAAATGGTTTGCAAATATAGATGTTAAGTGTGAAATGACTACAGCTAATGACCATAGTTGGGAGAGTTATGCACCTGCTGATCACAGGAATATTATTATAAATGAGGTTGATTTTTCCTGTTGACTACCTCATTTTTCTCAACATGGTCTCATTACTTTTCTATCAGATGTCTGACCCTTAGATACAAATACTCAAGCACAGACATAATAAAAATACATTAACTCTTATATAGATTTTTTAATGCATCGTTGAAAATCAAGGTGTGTGCTGCAGATGTTTCTTGCTTTTGTAGGTTTAACATAGGTCATGCTTTTCTATAACAGGGGAAAAAAAAAAAAGTTGAGTTTCACCACAAGTACTCTTGAGTCATTTAACAAGTGAGTTCTAATGTTCTAACTCCCATTGTCTAAATTACTACAGAAAAAGTTTCATTAGACCCTTGTTTTGTCAGTTACATTGCTTCTTGCAAAGTAAAAATAAATCTGAAAGTTAACACTAACTCTCACATAATTATCTTTCTTCTCCCAGGAAGTCAGTTATTTTACAGAATTTTAAAACCATCATCTTTCTCCAATTTTGCCTGTTCTTCAACTGTTTCATCTACTTTTGCCTGTAGAGTATAAATATTTCTATTGTTTTAAATTTATTTACTGAAATAAATTTTAAACTTCTTTAGTTTAAAGGTTTGCTGCTTCTTAACAGCATACATACATCATAAAAAAAATCTTATTTTAGGCTTCTATGACAGTCTGATATAAATGTGTGTATTTTTGTCTAAATGAATGTGTTTTGTATTGCACTTTGGAATGTAACTGAGCTTTACATTTACTAATAGCCTTTTTATTGCTAAGGTACCTAATATTTTTCAGGATGGAGAAAGATAAAACTATTCTTATAAAAAAAAAATTTAAACATTGAACCAATATTAGAAAGTGAACTTAAGTTTTTATTGGCAGTTGTTTGGAGATACGTATGCCTTAAGTCTAGGCTCCTACTGCTTTGTCATAGCATCATTTCAAGCAACATCCTCCATTGAGAATTACACAGTTTCAGTTTCAGCC